TAGAAACGTATGAAACTCCGTTACTACAGAAATTGCATATCGTGATACAATTGAAGATCGTTATCGTTATACTACTAAAATTAAGAAGTAAAATATTCCGAGTAAGCAGACACCGCGCCATGGATGTAGAGTGCAATTTTTCCTGTCATATTCTACGAGTATCCATTTCATTGGTGCTAATTTCTTCATTCAAAGAATTAAAATTTTCACCAAGTAGAAGCTCTTCAATCTCGCGATATGTTTTTCCTCCCGTTTCCGGTACCCATACGAACATCATCACTAATGCTATTAAGCATGATATCCAGAAAAACGCGTAATTCCAAAACACTCCTATATTATCGGTAATCACTTGAGTCAGTTTCGACGCGGTAAAACCAATTATACCATCGAAAATCACAACGATGGCTCCAACAATGCCTTTTAGTTTCGTAGGAAATAAGTCGCATAGGAAAACATTGGGTAATACACCTAAACCAATGTGAAATATTATTTGATGCATAAGAAGATGGAACATGGGAAGAAGAGACATGGCGGAATCGATAGACCTACGTTGAGGTGAGTAAAAATAGCATGTTAAAAGAAACGATATATAACTCGTCCCAGTCGCAGACAGAATTAAAAGTTTTCTTCTTCCAGACAAATCCACTACTAATGCGATTATATAGCCAGATACAAGGCGGATAATCTGCAAACAAATCATCACGATATATCCAAATATAGAGGCCGCATTTCTGCTAATGATGTCTTGCAGGTGCTGCGTAGCGGTGAAGTTTCCGCTAAGATGTTGTGTCATGATCAAGCCAAGCACGATAAACAGAGCTTTCCTGTTGCTTCGTTGTAGTATTGCTCGCAGCTTTTCTAAACAGGTATATTTAGTTAAATCCATGTATGGCTCAGATATGTCCGTTGATGCTCGTGAATCCACTCTGAATGGTGTGCGTAAATCGCTTCTGGCTCGTGAGTGTAATTCCCTTCTCGTTTCTGGGAGTATTTGGCTGATGGATGGCCGGTGTATTTGGCTTGTGGATGGTCGGTGTATTTCGTTTGTGGTCTCTGGGTGTAATTCTCTTGTGATTTCTGGGAGTATTTCGCTTGTAGTTTCTGAGTGTATTTCGCTTGTGGTTTCTGGGTGTGTTTCGCTAGTTGCTCCTGGGTGTATTTCGCTTGTTGCTTCTTGGTGTATTCGGCTTATGGTTTCGGGGTGTATGTCGCCTGTTGCGTCTGGGTGTATTTCTCTTGTGATTTCTGGAGGTATTTCGCTTGTGGATGGTCGGTGTATTTGGCTTGTGGATGGTCGGTGTATTTCGTTTGTGGTTTCCGGGTGTATTTCTCTTGTGGTTTCTGGGAGTATTTCGCTTGTGGTTTCTGGGTGTACTTCGCATGTTGCTTTTGGATGCTTTTCGCTTGTGGATGCTTGGTGTATTTCGCATGTGGCATCTGGGTGTATTTGGCTTGTCGGGGGCCTCGAGGTATTTCGCTTGTGGATGGTCGATTTATTTGGCTTATGGATAGGCGGTGTATATCGTTTGTGGTTTCTGGGAGTATTTCGCTTGTGGTTTCTGGGTGTACTTCGCATGTTGCTTTTGGATGCTTTTCGCTTGTGGATGCTTGGTGTATTTCGCATGTGGCATCTGGGTGTATTTGGCTTGTCGGGGGCCGGTGTATTTGGCTAGTGGATGGTCGGTGCAAGTCGCTTGCGGATTGTGAGTGTAATTCACGCGTGATTTGGAGTGGTAGTCCGTGCGAGACGCGCGAGTATTCTACGTGTAATTCGCCCGTGGCTTGTGTACGTACTTCGCATTTGAATTTTGAGTGTACTGAGGATATGGATTGTGAGTGTGAGTCGCTACTGGATGGTAAGTTTAAATCGGACGTGGCTTCTGTGTCTACTACTTCCCGTGTGGGGTCTGAGTGTGTTTCGCGTATTGATTGTGAGGGTAAATTGCTTGTGTAAGGTGGGGGTAAATCTCTACATGATGATGGGGGGAAAAGAGTATTGTACGATGGGGGTAAATCGCCACTTGATGACGAGGGCAAATTAATACTGAACGGTGGGGGTAAATCTCTCCTGGATTGTTGGTGTAATCCGTATCTGGCTTCAGCGCGTAGAGCACGTAGTTCGACTCTCACTTGATCAGGATCTTCGATGCCTTTGTAATATGCTATCGACTTGCATGCTTGCTCCTTTTGACCTTTTGCCACCAAGAAATACGGAGTTTCGCGTATGTATATGAGCGGCAAGATGGAGATAGCGGATATTCCTACAATAGCCAGCAGGTGTGACGTGTACGTCAGCGAGGGTCCAGGAATGTAGGCTAGTAGTGACCCGAAATGTACGTTCGCTGCGATTACAGTACCCATGCGTCCTCTGAGTTTGATGTCGGCAACTTCCGACAGGAACATGGGATTTATCGTGCGGGCAATACCAACGCCTATACCGAGAATCGCTCTGGCAAAGTATAGCATTTGCACAGAAGATGCGAAGTACATGTGGAGCCAGCCTAAGGTGAACACTGTGCTGCATGCAATAAGGCAGTATTTACGACCGATGCGATCGGCCAACTGCGCAGCCAGAAGTGAACCGATCATTGAACTAAGTACTGTCAAAGAAACGCTCCATGAATATTCGTCGTGTGTTAACCTTAGCGGCACGTCGCCGATTCCAGTTGTTAGAGGGAGAAATGAAGAGTTTGTCCATCCGTAGACTGTACCGACCAAGCACATGGTTATCGTTCCTGGAATGAGAAACCGTTAATGCTATATATAGCATATGTTAATTGTAGTGCGGTTGTTTTATAATTACACTGCGAATATTTACGCAAATTTGTATTTTTAATATATACTACTAATTGTTAGGTAGATGATACATTATACTGTGCATGTCAATGTGTGTAAGAGTCAGAGGAAGTTCAGGTGTCACTTAAGACAAAAGACAATTGGTAACTGTTAGAAGAATCTAGAATAGTATGTTGACAACAAGCGTGCGTGTAAGAAGATAATCGAGGTCTTCAGAGTGTAATATATATGTATAGCTGT